AATCTTTGCAAATAGATAAGGTCTTGCTTAGTTGACTTAAAAACTATGTAAGACCTTTGTAACCGTTAGTCTGTTCATATACAAATTATATCCTGATGAGTGGTAGAGAGACAGACTATGTACGCAATTCCTATACTTTGGATGTTGAAAGAATCCCAAGGGTTAATGTTTCAAAGGCTCCAAAGTGGTGGTGCTGGGCAGTACTGTGGACCTGTAAGAGGCAGGACCTTGTGGGATTCCTAAGGTCCCTGGAAGCATATCCTCAAGGGCATTGCGCGACCCTGGTCTCATCCTCTTTCTCTCCGCTTCCTGGTTTGAGATGGGAGTACTTCCTCCAACACTCACTCCTACCGTGATGTACCACCATTGCCAGAGGCCCAAACCATGGATCTTCAAAACTGTTGAGCTAAATGAAGTCTTTTTTTCATGAGTAGACTTCCCAGGTATTTAGTTGCAATAACATGAAGCTGATTAGTGTACTCTGGAGTTAGATAGACTTGGATTTAAAAAAACACAGTCCATCAGTTTTAACTTGAGTCACCAAGGACAGGGTACATTAGCTGTTTGATTCAAAATTTTCATGTATGATAAAGGTACAAAACATAATAAAGGTTAAAAAAAAGATAATTAGAAAGACTGTTATCAATACTTAGGTATGCAGACTATTTAGTTGTATCTGAATCTACTAAATACTGGTAGTTATTTATCCTAGGTTTTGTCATCTGTAGCATAACATGTTATGAGTAGTGTTATCAGGAGGATTAAGTGAAATAATATATGCAAATGCTCACTAAATATTAGTGGCTGTTTGTATTATTAATTTAATTTTGAGTTAAAATTAAAGAATTTATGCAGATATTTGATGCATGCGGAATATTTACTGTTGATTTTGGGAAAACTTACCATGCATAGATTTCAGTGTTTAAGATAGTAGGTCTTACTGATGTATAGACTTGTGAAGGTCACTTGAGTCCCTTGTGGGGATGAGAATATTATAGTAACATCATGAAGATGTTATAGTAATACTTTTGCCCTGACATTTGCCGTGCGTGTGCAAAAGCGATACTGAGTAAAGCCATGGGCAGTTTAGTAAAAATTAAATGGTAGTGGCATGAAATAGCACTAGTGATCATCGATATTCTCCACCGACATGCATTTACAGTTAAAACAAAACAGCTAATTTCTCTTGAAGCCCTTGACTAAAGCTGAATGTGGCGGTCCGAGTTTGTTAGTAATTGCAGCCATGTGCGAGGCTGAGGCAGGAGAGTTGCAGGTTTAAGGCCTGGGAAACTTTTGGAGACCTTGTTTCAAGATAAAATAAAGGACTGAGAATATATTGCTCAGTGCTTCCTAGGGTTAGTCCCAAGTATCACCAATTAATAAATAAAATTCATGAGGTAGTGGTAACAGTTACGTAAAATTTTACTAAATCTTGATTCTTGAGCATTCTTTTAATGTTTGGTGTGATGAGATAGGAAAGATGAACAAAGCACTTGTGTATAACCAGAGTGTATTGTTCATCTAGAGAGAAAACCCTTATGTGATGGTTTTTTGAGTTGCCAGTGAAATTAACCATATTTTTCATGAAATACCACTTTTAAAGAAGGAATACCAAACTATGATTATTTAGACAGTTATTTGGCAATCATTTTCTTGAAAATTAACAAAGTGAGCCTGTCACTTTAAGGAAACAACTGACAGTGTGTGTTGCCAATGGTACAAATTTGAACTTTAAAGTGAAAATTGAGATTTTAGCAAACTCTATTACCTGCTGTGCTCTTGTCAACTTTTCAATATTTAAAAGATTTTTCTGATAAGATAATGGTGATATTAGTGAATGTGTTCTTGCTGTTGTATAATGAATTACATTAAGACTTGTAGTATCTGTATAACTCAGTAAACCGGTATTTTCAGTGACCAGTTGTTATGTACGAGTAAAAGATGCTGTTGTAGTTACATGAGAGACACATACCTGTAATACCACTGGCCTGAGAGTTTGAGGAAGGAGATTCTCAAGTTCGAGGCAAGCTTGGACAACCTAATGAAGTCCTGTCCAAACAAAGAAATAATACAAACAGACAAGCAAACAAACCAAATGTTTGCAGATGTAACTCAGCAGTAGAGTGCCCCGGAGTTTGATTCTCAGTACTTGGGGGTGGGAAGACTCTTTCAAAAAACCCAGTCGCAGAAAGCAGAAGTTCATATGCGTTAGATTCCATATTATAACTTGTCAAGTAATGATGTAGTACAGAAAGAGAGCATCCGTTACCTGTACAGACTGTTAGTATTAATGAATATGTCTTGTCTTCTCACTGTGTGAGGCTACTTTTTTTCACATAGCTCAATGGAAACCTGTCATAACAGAGTGAATGTAGCAGCTGATAGGAAAATCCACCTTTTCGCTAAGCTACGCTAAACATAAAAGAAATTTGAAGACTTCTATAAGAGTACCATTTTTCTAAGCTTTGTTATTTTGAAAAGTAATTTTGCATAAAATGAGAAATTTGTGTAGAAATATTGTCTTATTAAGTTTAAAAAACAAATTAACACATACTTTTAAGTTTTCTCGTTTCATTTCTGATACGGTAAATGTTGATAATTATAACCTACACAGACAAAGCTCTTGGGAATACTCAATAATTTTAAGAACACAGAGGAGTCCTGACAGAAGTTTTGGAACTTTTAAAGGAAAGGCAGCCAGACTCAAAATGATTTGAGTTCCAAAGATTTATCTTTTTGAGTATTCCTTTGAAATATGGATTACATGCCTCTAGTTTCTTTTCCCAGTTGTAAGGATATGCCACTATATGTCTGTGACATTTACCAAATAAGAAGATGACTTATGTATGTGTTTTTAGAGAAGATTTTTGTTTTTTAAGATTGATGCTACCTGTAGGGTTACTGCTCAGAGTTGAGATACAGTTAACAGTCATTCCAGCCTCTTCATAATTGATAGAACTCTTTTGGTTGTCAGATACGTGTAGCTTTGGGACCTCGTCACCATGGTAAGCTACTTTGGGGTTGTAGTGGAACTCACTGTGCAGAAAATAAACTGCCATTTGCTCTGAAATCCGTATGCCAGGCTAACCTGTTGTGCTATTTCACAGCTATTTTCTAGTACAGTCAATTTACAGTTTAAAAATGTGTTTGAGAATTAGTTATTTGCAATAATATACTGTGAATTTCAGATGGGTTCTGTTATGGGCATATCAGCCTACTGAGAACTATTAAATTTTTTGGACAAGGAGCTGTGTTAACTCCTAGAAATCTAACCAAACATGTATTGTCTTTTTTTTTTTTTTTTTTT